GCGTCATCGCTTAGCTCTACAGTTGGGACTGTCCGCGAAGTCCAGAGTTGTAACGAGTCACTGAATTTTGTGACTCAAGTCGAGTGGAGTCATTTTAAGGAAGCGAATCGAGTCGAGTCATAAGGTCAAGAAGGGAGAGTCGAGTCGAGTTGAGTCGAGTCACAATGTGTGGTCGAGTCGAGTCGAGTCGAGTCGAGTCGAGTCGAGTCGAGTCAATTTTATGCTCGAGTCAATTCGAGTCACTGATATTTGAACACCATCTAATAAATTACAGAATTGAGAAGGAACACATGGGAAGCACAGTTTATGAAGATCCAAAGACTAAAAATATGCTGCCTGGTACCCAGCAGACAGCTTCGGCTAGATGTTTCTTACAAAGATCTATGTAGCAGTTCACAAGAAGTGAACTTTCGGTTTTAATCTCTGCCTTGACTTCATGTCTGGAATCATTTTTATGTTGACAATGTCAAAACCAAATTGCAACATACAAAACTTTTTCTGATTATAATGAAATATATCTAATTATTTTTTGAAAGCAGGACATAAATTTAGCCAGGGTTCCATCGAGGGCTTAAGAAATCGTCCAAAGCCTATGATGAAACCAAGAATTGGGAAATGCGTTTAAAGTCTGGTTCCGGGATAGAAGGGTGTTCGCTACAATATACAACCACGAAATTGGAGTCCGTGATAAGGCGTATATTTTTACAAGATAAGCGGCCACAACTTGACGGCACCGGTAACGCGAAGTACGCGAACACAAATAACTTTGTACCGTAAGTTACCGCAAGTATATTTTCGCACAGTTTTGGGACTAGTCTTGTTAGCTTTCCATCCACTCGAGTCGAGTCGAGTCTTCTGATGAGGGAATCGAGATGAGTCGAGTCATTTGCTCGCAATGACTCGAGTGGAGTCGAGTCGGTTACTCGTTGGGACTCGAGTCGAGTCACCAAAAATTGTGACTCGAGTCGGACTCGAGTCGAGTCGTTGACTCGAGTCATTACAACTCTGAGCCGAAGTCCATGGTTAGCATCTTCGTAAAGGTACGGGGCTAGTTTGGCTGATCTCGGCAGCCAAGACTATTAGGGCACCGCCTCGTTTCCTCCCTTTTATGGTGCTTGGCCCTTTGGGTTATATGGATGGACAGGGAAGGAGGTGTAGTAGGCCAGGCCGGGAAACCCGAGAGCCCAGAAGAGTCCTATACAAGGAAGTCGGTAACCAGTCAGACTACCGAATGCTTGGTCAACACCGCATGACGTTTTGGTTTCATTGTTTTCCCAGAAGATGGGCGAGGGGTAAGACCTAGGTCCTCATTTAAATTTTTCTTTTAAACTAAACTGTGCCCCTTGTAAGAGATAAGAGAAATCTGATATAGATGAAGATCGCCCCCAACGGTACGTGTTTCTACTTTCATAAATTCTGCCATTTTTGCTTACATGAACCTTTTACCAAGTTTCGAAATCAAACAAATGTTTTTATTTACATCTTTTGTAAGAATATAATGCAATGATAAACCGATTGCAAAAAAGGGATACAATACTTACTTGGCATCATGTAATTTAGCTATAACGGGTGAAACTGCAGTGGCAAAAAAGTATGAGAACCATAGAAATAAAAAGGACGCCCTTACATGCCTTCGTATCTGACGGGCGCGTTCGCACCTGTCGCGCGCGTTCTTAATTTAAACTGAAATCTTATTGGTCGAAGGAGCACTGAGCGCGCACGTGCCACCTGCTGACGCAATACTCAAGTAGCGGCTTTTAAGTTTGACACACGTAGAAACATTAATTACCAGAGAACGTACTTACCGATTTAAGGAGGGAAAACCTTGCTTTATATTAAGAATGGTCTGGTATTAAATACCCTGTGAAATGATTCCATCTGAAACGGTACCTTTCGGAAGAAAACAACCATTAAAGGTGTTTAAAAAATGTGTCCGTGGCCCCACTTTTTCATTTATGGGACCTTGAGGTCGCAACAAGTACTTGACTGAATGAGAATCATGTCCCGATTAAAGATTAAAGGATTGCAAACTTGATGATGCGAATAAAGAAAATTATGAAACAGCATATTTTCAATCGGAAGCACTAGCAATTAACAGAGTCCACTTATGAGACCAAATAATGTGCATAGGTTTTCTCTGTTTTCACAAAATGTATGTTATCTATTGAGCTGAAACTTCAACACCTTAGTTAAGATTGTGAGCAATGTTGTTGCCTTTAACAAAAACAACCGCACAAAAAAGCACATCGCATGACAGCTTTAAGTCTCCATTGGTATAGGCCTATAGGACGTGAATAAGTGAGAATAGTCAACCAAGCCTAGAATTGGTACGTTGGGGGGGGGGTTGCCGGGGACGCTAATTCAGGAAGTAAGGGAGCAAGGAAGCCGCGAAAAATAACTTGTTTCAATAACCCATGCCTTGCATGACTGGAAGCGCTGACAAATTGCTGTAAACCAGAAACAGATACTCCGACATAACGATGGATGTCTCCACTGTCGCTTTCCCAATCGGCAGAAACCACTACAATTTGTGAGGACAAATTATCAGCTGTTTATCAACTTATTTCCGCCCTCTTGCAGCTCATGATTACTCCCATAACTTCACAAACATTTTGCCAGAATCCTGAACAATTATAGGCCTAGAAAAGTGGTTTCTTTTCTGCAACAAAACAAAAATCGAACTCCTGTCTTCAGCTGAAAGGTACATCATCTTCGCTCAGTGCTTTTTGATTGCGGTAACCTGTCGGTTACCGCTCGTTAATTTGAAGCACAACATGCGATGCGTTAGGTGAAGGCTTGTTCAAGTTTGGACCATTTCTCATGGGTGCAGAAAGTAACAAATAAAGGGAAGAAGTTCCTTCGCATGTCGCAGGGAGTGGAGCTGTCGGAGTGACAAACTTTGAGTCATTTTCATCGAAGGCTTTATTCAAAACAAAACTCATTTTCTGTTGAGCAATCTTTTTTTCTTTCCGAAACAAAAAACAATAATATTGAACCATCTATCTTCGTAAAGTTAAGAATTAATGGGGCATCACGGTCTGAAATTCCCGACAATTTCATGTTTTGGATTGTTTACTTATCCTATTTCAAAATGTTTGGCTTGAAGGAAACTAACCTAATGTCTTACCGTTTCCGAGAAAAGACGAAAACCCCCGGTTGTTTGCATCGAATTTTTTTTGTGGCATAAGCATACGTATTTCAAGCCGTCTCTATTCAATGAACTGTACATGTAAGTGTCTATGAGTGTGTCACATAATACACACAGTACCAATGCACAAATATTGTTTTTCACACGACCGCAGAAGGCGATCACTGTGCGGCTGGATTCACAACTAGCACTCAACAGCTCCATTTTTCAGAGTCAATATTGTGACCCCCAAAATAAGTTCTAGCATTCTCGCAAGAATAACATAAAAACGTCAAGTTTTCAAAGGATGGTTGTGTGGACGTTTATATCCTATTTTTAAATGTTCTTTCCAATTAATATAAATTCGTTTCAAACGTGTTTTATAGCCCACTTGGGCGCATTCCAGGCCGTGATATCCCTTTAAGGAACTAGATGCAAGGAGGCAAGTGGCTTATTTTCAAGGAAAGACATCAGTGAACAGAAATCTTTTCAATCAGTATATACAATAACGATCATTTACATGATAAAGTTTTTTTTTTCAATTTTAATTTAAGCTTCATGAAACTTGACATTCTCTCATGACCTCAAAGGTCACTTCAACAAAGTGCAGCTACTTTAATAGTTAAAAACAAAAAGTGAACATTACCATTATATGTTAACTCACATTTTGTGCTGATTATGTCTTAAACAGCTTCACCATATTAAAAGAAACTCGACACAAATTATGCCCTGACTGATCTAATAAAAAAAAATACAGTTTCTCTTGCGGAAATTCAGTTTTCGATTTCAGGAAATGCATAAAGAAATGCAGTGAGAAAAAGACAAAACGACGGTCTATATTCTGCGTGATTTTTACCTAAGAACAAAATCCAAGCCAATTAAAATAAAACAACAAATATAATGAGAAAAAGACAAACTATCGGTATAACATGAAACCGATAAAAGTATGTTGATAAAAAAACCCACACAATTAGGCCTAAACAGCGATAACAACGACGTCGAGAAACGGTAGAAGCGGGAAAATGCAGGAAAGTAGAAAGAGGGAGATGAGAATATTCGACAATTGCTAGCGATCGTGTGAAAATGAAAGCCTTGAATCGACGACCTTCGTGATATGTGGCATTTTCCTTGAAGGTATTACTCAGGGTCAAAGCTAATCCCACGGTCGGCAAATATTTATTTACTATCAATGTAGCACCTGTGGTGGTCCGATCTTATCTTGAGAATTCACATTATTTTTGTCCCTACTAATCAATATTTATTATTTCCATATTTCATATCTTGTATTTACACCAAGGCTCCTAACTGGAGGAAAATTTACCGATCCAAGGCAATTCGTTGGGAAATTTTATTTTTTGATACGTGGGAATTTTCGTGTATCAATTATTGAATAATGACAATATTCCTTCGTTCGCACCCACACCTTTTTTTCAAGGGAACTAGTGTCGACCATTTTCTTTGAGTTCTCATTGGATAGATTTAAAGTCATGTGATTGGGTTAACACCTGCGCATGCGCGTAGCGCGTGCGTGGAAAATACGTGCAATTGTCATGCGGTAAAGTAGCCACAATGCTTTGCGTTCCTTCTTAATGTATTCTTAAGATGGAAGTTACGTCGAGGTGATGTAAATATTTAATTCTTAATACATATTAAAAAAAAATTACTTAGCCGTCACTAGTGCCCATGGATAGAGTATTGATTACATCGAGGGATGTTTTGCAATAAATTCTTTAATTTTTTGCTGCAATATCTGTTAAAAACCCTGAATTCATGCAAAAAAGTTACATATGTACAAAGAACTTTGGAATAGTCGCTCTAGTGGTAAAAGTATGACGTCCAGGGGCGGGTCCGGGAATCTTTGAAGCGGGGGGGGGGGGTGGTCAGGCCCGTCAGAATGTTTTATGCCTGATTGTTGCGGACAGGCGGGCATATGTAATGCAGCACATTATTGTTATAATTTTTGTTAGTGTCAGAGCGGGGGGGGGGGGTGTTTCGACACCCCCCCCCTCTCTGGATCCACGCCTGACGTCATACGGTGGATGCTACCCCACACAGAACACACATCACAGAGCAGATATAGTGTCATAGCAACAGCTTCAGCTTTTAGGGTAGCCTTACAAAAAGACGGCTTGCTGAACAAGCGAGACATCACTCAAAAATGAAAAGCTACCAATATAACCAATTTTAAATAAATAAACTTTAGCAACCATAGTACGAATTTGTATTCCGTAGTTTGTACACTTGTCTCCGTACTATTTTTTGGTAGAAAATGTGACTTTCCTGACCCTGTAATAATCTGATAATTTCTTTCCAATATATAGAAAGTTCTTGAATATCTAATAATTTACAAAAACCCGCTAAGAATCTAGGAAATCCTTTGGTGCGTGTATAGTACATACAATCACAATTGCCAACATTTTTTTTGAAAGCTTATCACCTTTAACAAAATCTTTGTACACAGTGGCCTTATTTTAAAATTCTGCGGCAAAATGTCATTCACTCATTTCGGGTCTCTGTCCATAAGTATGGGGAAACTATATGAATAGAGCACGAATGACTTTTGACACAGAAACGAATTACCACTCGTTGCTAGTTAGGCAAGAAGTTTCTGACGTGATAAAAAAAAAAAAAAAAAAAATGTATATTTAAAAATTACACCATTATTGTGACCTGTAACGGGCATGGTGCTATGGTCGTGCAATCCGCCAACAAATTGGGATGTTGATACGCCGATAGCAAAACCGTCATGTTAAAAATAATTCATATGATTGATTAGATTCCGAGGGAATCGAAATCCTGACAGAATCGATAAATCCTCAACATAAACTAGGCAGTCAAAATATTCTTAAATGGACAAGATATTGATTATTTAAAAAAAAATTCTATTGTGCGTTGCTTTTTGTTATTAATATGTCATTTCACCGTAATAGCCCATTGTAAGCCTCTCAGGTACTGGTTGACAAACTATTCTTTCCTCAAAACTATTGAGGAATTTGAATTCTAGAAATATCGATGTCTGCTTTTCATGCGGGGCCATTGAGTCCAGCATACTGACAAGCTGATAATGTAGGCGATTGCCTGACCGGGTAGCTGAAACCACCCATAGATGTTGAATGTTGTTTAGCTTTAAGGCGAAGCGAAGCGATACTGCTGGAGCACGGCTCCCGATAGACGTACGGGGAAGCCGGCACCGAGGCGTACGGGCACGCCGCCGCGGCAGCCCCGGCCGAATTGTTCAAGTTCTGGTGGCTCATCACGCCGTTCACGGGAGACGTTGGGAACGTCGTGCTCATCGTAGTCTGCGAGTTGAAACACATGGGTTGGTTGGAGACCCCGGCCAGCGGGCTGACGGAATTCAGAGACCAGGGAAAGCTCTTAGCCCCCAGGGGGTTAGCGGCTGCGGCTGCCGACTTGGCTGCCCAGTTGTTGTAGGAGTAGCCGGAGTACAAGCCGTCGTCAAACGGCTGCATCAGACCGTTGAACTGCGTGCCAAAGCCGTTCTTCAGTTCGTTCATGTGGTTCCTCTCACGTTTTCGCCACTTGGCGCGACGGTTCTTGAACCAAATCTGCCCATAAAAAGGAAGACAATCACAGATGTTTAATTAATCAAAAATGTTACTCATATATCTTAATTAACATTAACGTGAACAAGGGCGAATCCAGGGGTTTCCAAAGTAGGAGCCTGGAGGCTTACAGCCCGATAGTCCGAAAGTTCTTTAGTCCGAAGGGTCATTAGTCCGAATGGTCATTAGTCCGAAGATTCGATAGTCCATTCGATAGCCCATTAGTCCGAAAATAGAATAAGGTTCATTAATCAGAAGGCTCGATAGTCCGAATAGACGATAGGGTTCGATAGTCCGAATTGACAATAAGGTTCGATAGTCCGAATAGATGATAAGGTTCGGTAGTCCGAATATACGGTAGGGTTCGATAGTTCGAATTGACAATAAGGTTCGTTGTCCGAATGGGCAATACGGTACGGACACTTCGGACTATCGGACCTTACTGTTGATTCGGACTATCGAACTTTATTGTCGATATTCGGACTATCGGACCGCATTGTCGATTCGGACTATCGGACCTATAGTCTTTTCGGACTATCGAACCTTATTGTCAATTCGGAATAATGAACCTTCGGACTATTGAACCTTATTTTCGTTTCGGACTATTGAACCTTCGGACTGATTATTAAAACCTTATTCTAAATTCGGACTACCGAACCTTCGGAGAAATGAACCTTCGGACTAATGAACCTTCGGATTAATGAACCTTCGGACTATTGCATCAAATGTTCGGATTAACGAACCTTATTTCATTTTCGGACTAACGAACCCCCTCTTATGGAAATTTTTGTGCATTCGGACTATCGAACCTTCGGAATAAAGAACCTTCGGAGTATCGGACCTTCGGACTATCGGGCGGCCCCGCGCCTGGAGTGTTGAATTAGTCACTCAAAATGTTCAAGTAATGACGTAATTCAGGGGACTAAAAACAAAATGTTATGTTTCTATCATGAAAGAAATTACCCTGCGTCTTTTTTTTTGGGCGGGGGGGGGGGGGTGTATGGTAAGCTACACCAACCCTTAGACCCGCCCTTGTTGAACTTGTTTGAAATACTGTATAGTCTTACAATGAGCAGGAAACACAAGAAAAATTGAACAACCTTTCAGTTCAGTTAGTCGGCAACTTTAAAGTCCCAATTCTGATCTGCATGATACGACGATGGTTTAATGCTTCATTAATTTGCAAAATGTCACTGAAGATAATGGCAATTTGTTAATACAGTTATTTTTGCTTTATATTTTCCTATTTTTTAAATATTTTTAAACTGCCTTACACTGACGAATTTCACTCAAACTATAATGGTACAAGAAAATCCAAGCTGGGAATGAGTTCACAAGATACTTTTAGTAGATGGAGATCTTTATCTTTCGTCCTGTTGACTTTCACACTTTCTGGTGTGGTTTCTTGAGTATGTAAACACCGGCAATCGTGGACTAGGGACAAAAGCGTTAGGGAACAAACAACGGGTCCTCGATTGACCGATAGTCCACGATTGAAATTCGTGTACAAAACCAATGAGAGCTACAAACAAAGGAGTAAAGGAATGAGGATTAGGGACAAAAGGGGTCCACCATTGCTGGTGTTTACAAAGATTTTGCAAGCATTACATTCACTGTGTGGACTTCCGAACAAAAGAGGTCCACATAAACCAGGCAGCAGCGACGTTGTGTGGACTTGCCCACGTCCACACAATGTTTTCCCCTCTCTGGAAAACAGGTTGAGAGGCATTTTGAGTTAGGTTTATCCGTGGCAAAATGAAGAGAAACACTAAAAGGAATCGTAGACAAAAACTGATTTGAAAGAGTTTTCACAGTGTGAGTAAAATGAGTTTTTTTCACAGGTTTTTCTTAACTTCACGAAAACAAAAGAATGTCCACACTAGGTATGTAACGTAAACATGATTGGGTGCGTGCGTGGGTGGTGCACACCTGATTCCCTGCTCGCTCACATGCAACGGTGTCTTTTTAATTGTTGCTGTCTCTACACGTATACTCTCACAATTTCCTGGGCAATAAATTGCTTTCCTGATCGGATATTATTGGATTGCAGATCTCCATTTACTTGGCTTTGTGATGCTTGTTTGTACATTTATTTTATATATCCATTTGTTCCATTAAGAAGCTGTTTTCTGTTTTCAGCTCGATAGCTTTTACGCGCGTTTTTTCCCCTTTCTGTTCGCGAAGGCCCGCATGTGTGTACTCCACATAATAAGACATATCACTAGCAATGTGAGTCACGACTCTTGTTGCAGACGACACAGGCCCAAATCTCACTCAACAGTTTCTCATCTTTTCCCGCCCGATGAGCCGAACGGAACGAAATTGGCGGGAAATGACAACCTTGGCAACCCATCACAATTCGGCGTGTATACCTCGCACAGACAACACAGAGAAGAGAGAAGGGGGATGATAAGAGAGAGAGAGAGAAAAAAATGGGAACAGTGACTGTATCGTGGGGCCTACTTTTCCCGCCGAAAGGCGCGATGCGTTTTTGTGGACGGCTTTCCTATCCCTCAATACGTCAGGTCATCGGACCTAGTTTTCCATGTAAGCCTCCGTTGAGCGATAGGAAGCCAATAGTTTAGTTGGTACCTTGCTCTCTTTAATCATGTATATGGGTCTCCATCAACTTAAAGGTGACGCGAACCATGGAATCAACCGTATGTATTACATTTGCTTACAGAAAATAGATGTTGTGGCAACATGATGTTCTCTATACTGCACTTCATGTAAACCGGCACATCTCTAGAAATACGAGCGATTTATGAAAATATTGACATAAATTATTTAACGCAAGGAAACATAACAAAGTCATGCCAACGAGGCCTAAATGTTTAGGTTGCCTATCGATATGATGTCAAATATGACATGGTTTATTCAGGGCGAGTCAAAAAAAGCGAACCCCAAATGTCGGGACTATTGTTTTAGTGAAATTCTGCATGCAGCACTTCCAAACTCTAGGATATGAAAGGTCAATTCATAAGCTTTCTTTTAGTACAAGAATCATTCGAATCACTCATGTACTTCTTAATTTACGGAATTTTAAACACAACCACCGCTTTAAAGTTCTGTCCACGGATCACACAAAATCTGTGCGTTCTTTCAGCAAAACGAAAACAATTCACACACATCCCTATATGATTCGTTTTCGTTTTGCTGAGAGAACACTTACCTTCTTGTGATCCGTGGACAGAACGTTAAAATGGTGGATGTGTAATTCCGTAACTTGAAAAGTACATGGGTGATTTGAATGATTCTTGTACTAAAAGAAAGCCTATGAATTGGGCCTTTGTGTCCTAGATTATGAAAGGGCTACATGCAGAACTGCACTAAAACAATGGTCCTGACATTTGGGTTTCGCTGGGTTTTTTTCACTCACCCTGTATGTTGGGGCTGCCTATCGATTATGACATCACATGTGACATGGTCTATACAGGGCGAGTTAAAAAATGAAAACCCAGTATTTTTTAAGGAAGTTCTGCATCTCGATCTTTCCTGATCTAGGATATGAAAGCCCAATTAATAAACTTTCTTTTGGTAAAAGAATCATTCAAACCATTCATGTACTTTTCCAGTTATGGAATTTTCAACACAAACGCAGTTTTATAAGTTTATCCACGGATCACATTTCAGATATATGTGATATTTCAGTAAAATGAAACCATGTCGTATCATGAAAACGATAGCAAAATAATCCCATAAGTCTCCGGGGTAGCCAAGTTGAGGCCAGGGCAAGACTATGAAATTACAAAGCATGTTGTTTTAACGTTCGCAACAGAAGGTGTGTACATAAAAGTTATGATAAGTGCCAGTTATCATTGTTATGAGAGTGTTCTGATGTGGGTTTTTAATATGTGAAAATTGTCTTCGATTTGGTGAAAGATCACTAACCATTGTGACCCGTGGACAACCTTATAAAACTCTGTGAAATTAAACGTCTATAACTGGAAAAATACATGAGCGATTTGAATGATTCTTTTACTAAAAGAAAGCTTATAACTTGGGCTTTCATATCCTAGATCTTGAACGTGCTACATGGAGAACTTCCTCAAAAATAGGGTGCGCCATTTGGGTTTCCTTTGATTTTATTTACCCTGTGTAGAATAATATATAACATTTTTAGTTTGCCTCCTCTGAATTCGAAATATTTAATGGATTTTCCCATAAAGTCCAACAGTAGAAGCCAGGACTGAATCACACCTTGCCACACTCGTGCACAGGTGGTACGCGCGCACTCAGTTTGCCTTCGACCAATAGGATTGTCAAATTACGCGCGCGCCTTATTATGAACGCGCGCCATCTACCCATGAGCGTTGCGCCACCTCAGTAAATGGTTGTGGCCGGTGTCATTATGAAATTTGGACTCCTATAAAATCTGGTCACTTTTACCTTGTATAGACTCATACAATAGCTGTGTCCACGAGTCTACGGTAGCGGCTGCACCCACTTACCATAGACTAGTGTGTATTTTCAAGCCGTATAGCCAAGTAATTGGGACACGGCCAGTGTATGAGTCTATAAGGTAAAAGTGACCAGATTTTACAAAAGTCCAAAGTTCATAATGACACCGACCACAACCATTATGCCTAGGCATGCGCAATGCAACAAAATGAGTCCGTATTTCACGGAGTCTAAATTTCACGCCACACCGGATTAGTCTGTTCATAACTAAATCACAGGGATAAATTGCAACAGAATTTGAAGAAAAAAATCCCAGAATTCAACACCCTTTCCTCCATAAGTGTTTCCGGAGATGGAACGCGTAAAAGAGGCGGCAAATGGCAGACTTTCTCCCCGCCGCCGCCGGCATAGCTTGCCTCTGAATGCAAACTGATTTTTAATCCCCGAGTTTTTCGATTAGTATTATCTTGACACTTCCCCCTCTCTCGCCGTCTGCGATTGCCTGCTCTCTCTCATCGCCACGGACTGACCCGTCCCCATCCCTCCAGCATGCCGCGCGCAGCTCGCCAGATTATATTCCTCGGATTCACTCCAGTCGTGTC